ATTTATTATCATCAGAAAAGTATAGTGTTGAGAACTTCTTGCTCAATAGGGCACCAGAGCTCGCCTTGCGAGTTAAAACTTGGCAAGCTATTTGATGAATCTTTTCAAACTATTGTTAAAACCAACATGGCAGAGTGGCAGTCTTGCCTGGTGTTTTGTCCAATTAACTTAAAAAAAAGGTTAGATGGTAGCAGATCCTATTATCACATTGCTATTTAATTATTATTCTTGTGTTCTGGCCTAGCTTTTAGCTTCCTACAGTCAGTAAAGTGGTTTCTTTGGTGAGAGGCTAAAAACTAACAAACCTTTTAAACTGTAAGTCAGCCAGATAGTTTACCTTGCATCTGTGTTAAACTGCTTTTCAATCCAGAAAATCAATCAGCCTGCTTGTAATTGTAGCTTAATGTACTGTCCTGTAGTTTGACATCATAGCTTGCGGTGAGGTGATTTTCTTTGTGGTACTTGGTACGTGTCTGCGGTTTTATCCAGCTACGATGCACACAGCTTACCTCAGAGGTGAAACAATCTGCAGGACGAGAGATCACTAACTCCCCGTGAATAAACCTGCCAATCTTTCAGGGAACTGGCTATTGGACCTCTGTGACTCGCTCTCCCTCTCTCCGTCTCTCGTCTTCCCTGCCTTCAGTCGCTGCTTTGAGTCGTCTGTTTCTGATTACTGTCCCAGTCACTCCCTCTTGCTCCGCAGTCTCATTGTTCCCCTCTCTATTTGTCTCTTCTTATCTCCCCCCATCCTTTTTTCTCCCCTAACCGTTTCCCTGTTTTTTTCTCATTCTCCACGCCTTCTCTTCTCCCCTCTCTCTCTCTCTCACTTTATCTTAACCCCTCCATCTCCTCCTGCCCGGTTCTCATCAGACACACACAGAGCGATGCACAAACACCATCCCTCACATCTCCAATGAGTACCTTGTTATCATCTTGTCCCCACAGCGGCTTTCTGTCTGGCTCCGTCTCAGCTTGGATTCCGTCACTAATGGGACCGCATCATTTTCGACAGCTGCAATTCCTCAGCGCTGACAAACAGAGATGTGGTGCAGCTCTGCGAACACAGCTCAGAGGGATTGTAGACTAATGCCTCGGTCTGATTTACACATTTACAAAGGCCCTTTTTAAAACACCATTTCTCTTTGACACACATGTGCTGGCGTTGTACAGAAACACCACATGGCCTGTTAAGACAATATAGGTTTCTAGAACTCACTAGAGCCCGTATTTTACTTTAGATATCGGGTCTGAATTTCTTCATATCCCCTTATCTCACTGTCTTCTGAAATGTCCCTTTTTTTATTTAAAGTAATGTCAGCCACAATCTCGGTGTCAGGGAACACAACCCATGAAATATTTATACGATTTGAGAATGCAGTGACAACAAACAGTATCTTGTCAGTGCGCTATTCTAGGTTCAGACATCTTAGAAGTTCATATATGACTCCTCGGGCTCCTCAGATCTGCAGAAGAGAAGCTAAGTGAAACTTCATGAAAGCTTCAACAATAGCACATGTTAGAGTTTGCCTTCCTTCGATCTTTCAGCCCGCTAATCGTTTCCACTGGGTCCTGCAGGGCAACAACAAAGACTCCTTGAAATTGTATGCCAATCTGTTATTTCTTTTGATTTTGTCCTTAACTAAATTTACTTGTTTTTGTGAGCGCTGCTTTCATCTCTCTCAAAAAGGGCATTAAACACCTGACCCGGGACAGGCTTTGAAAGCAGAAACACACCACAGATTGCAAAATCAAATGATCTACACTAGCAACTGTTTGTGTTAGTTTTTTTTTTAATTGCAGTTTGTTATTAGGCTATTTAATTATATTCAGGAAGACGCTACCGTATGTTATTTTTTCAACTTGATACACACTCCGCATTAAAGGATGTCTTAAACAATGCTCTCATGCCCATATGTACATGTAAAGAGTTGCCGTATGGTGTTATCTTTCCTCATCTCCATACTGGCCGTGATGAGATCCTTTCTAATGCAATTTTAATGCAAGCACGGATAAAATCCACAGTCCTTATTCCGGGCGAAAAGTGACTTCAATGAGTCTTCAGGAGTCTGAGGTAGACAAATGAAGTGAGTATCTTGCAAAGTTTTTGTACTTTTTAGTACAAAAGTCTCTTTTTATGTTTCCCCAGACAGTGTTTCTTTGCTGAGCTGCTGCAAAAGTGATATCGGGTATAGGTAGAGTATTTTGTACCAAAAGACTTTTGACTAAACACTAACTTTGCTCATTTTTCCCCCTCTCCTTGTTTAAAGATTTGAGCAGTTACTGCATGTTTTATTCAGGCATACAGTATATTATTTTCAGAATAAGTTGGGCTGCACAGAAAGGCCATCAATGTGCATATGCAGGTTTTTTGCATAAAAAAAGGAGACATTTGAAATGTAGTTTTTTGATCTGCTTATATATATGATCCATGATGCACGATGCAGTCAGTGAGTTAACATTGTGTGCCTTATATTGAGCCCTGTTGTAATCTAGATTTGTGGTTTATATTTGACATAAATTGGCACCATGTTGAATTAGCTACTAGCAGTTCCTGTTTGTTTGTTCATTTAGATCTCCATTAGCTACTGTTATTTATATAGTATATTTATAATGTACCCATGGATGTACAGACAACTATCACTAGAGTACTTTGATTCTGAAGAAAACTTGAAAGCATGATGATTCTGAAGTGTTAAAATTTGACTGAGTCATGAGTGATTTTTGACGCAAACTGCAGCAATTGGGGCGCATGGGGTTAATTTGACTAACCAGGACCTCATATTAGCATCAGATTTACTTTAGAATGCATTTTTGTCCAGACAGACGATAGTTTCATGGCCAGTATGGAAAGGAGGACTGTATATAGTGTGAGTACCATTTTAAAACAGACTTGAGAAAATGTCCTTTAAAAGCACTGATACCAACTTGCAGGTAGACATTTAAAATACTTTTTTTGTCTTATTCTAAAGGGATTTTTTTTCCAGGAAGGTCAAAAGCCTACCTTGCTTGCAGAAAACTCTGAGACAGTCTCCAAGGTTGGACTGGCTAAGGTAGTAGCACCACTCGGAGAGAACATTTTAATTTCCTATTGGTGGGTATTAGGCAGCTCAAGCAGTGAACTGAGGAGAACTGTGTGTTGAAGCTTATCGTGTTTGAAGAGAGGCAGGTACACTGATCTGTGTTAATAACGTGGTGGTAAGCGCCGCTCAGCCAGCCAGCGGTTACGGCCTGCCAGCATATTACCAGTGACATCACAGATCAGACTGCATTTGGCTCCGCTCGGCCCGCTCTCATTAGAACAGACATCCTTCAAGAGACCCTGCTGGTCATATACACACTGCCCTTTAAAGTACGGTCAAAGAGCATCTGTAAGAGCCTCACAGACGATGCTTTAAAGCTATTATCAACAGTCTGTAATACTAAACAGTATTAAATAGTAATATACCAGCGATCAAGCTTCCACTTCATATTTTTTAGTTTTATAAGCCTTCAGTAACACCAAAACCAAAGGAGGCACACGTGTGAACAGTCAAAGGAAAGATAAAATATTCCATTCCATGTTTACGTCAGATAGAGAGATGTCTCCCGTTGAACGTTTTTTTCAGCCACAGTGTGTTCCGATGGTGGGCTGTTTGTACTTTCAGTCATAGGCTCTTGGGCTCTCATTGGTAATCTTATTTTAATCAGGATTTGCAGAAATACTATAATAATTTATAGCTGGCGCGAAAAGACTTTCTGAGCCTCTTGGAGCATGAACAGAGCCCACAGCGTTAAATATTTCAATAAACAAGTAGATTTTAAATATTTCATGGGTAGAACGATTGATACGAACTGAAACTACTTTATGAAACATTAAAGGCCCTGTGTCCATCTGAACTATATGGATTCACTGGCTTTCTCAGAGCACTGCTGTAGCCATGGCCTCTTTAGCTGCATTTAAGCCAGCACACTGGAGAAATACATGCAATGCTGTCATGATTGTTAGTGCACTCATACATCATGGGAGGAGGGAAATTTGCTTAATAGGAATCTGTTCTCTCTCCCAGGCATTCTCCTCCCTTATCTCACCCTGACACTCCCCCGTCACTCCTTTCTCACCCAACACTGCTCTCTCTCTCTCTCTCTCACTGGGGTGAATACAGAAGAATGACACTGCGTAGGATTTCAAAGGGTGGAGGGAAAAAAAAGAAAAGAAACAACACACATTCAAGAGTGTGGGATGTGGCCAAGTGAAAAACTAATGTCTCTGCAGGGTTTGGGAGGAGTAGGAGAGGAGTTTATCTCCTGTTCTACCACATCTATGCCTTTCTGCAGAGACGCAGCCCTCCAAAGTTTGGCTCGCTGAATATACTGCAGTACTGATTCACTCTGATAAAACACTGTACTCTTCACTAGTGTACAAATCCCAAACTTAATTACAATGAGCCGAAATAGAAATGAACTCAATTATAAAGATATTGCCACATATTTGCCCTTCAGGCTTTCTTGTATCTAATCAAATTCTTTGTCTTTTGCCGACATTTCCAAACTTTGTTTTCATACTGAAAGTAATGTGGAGTAATAGCAAAAAATGTAGCAATAACAAATATGAAACTGTTTTTTAGTCTTCTAAGTTTTGTTTGCAACAGGGTTGCACTGCACACACACAAAGTTGTTCCTTTAAGATTAATTAAGATAAACTGATTGTTTTGTTATGGTCAGATTATTTAGGATCTTTGTTGAAATTATAGAAAGACAAGCACCGCCTCAGGGCTTTTTTATTGGCAGATGTACATACTATGAAGTCTAACCCAGAATGCAACTCTAAAGTCGTTAGACACTCCCTGCCAATGTATTTCCACAGAACACAGAATTGTTACTGTTCTGTCAAGAACATGACAAAAAAGACAAAAGCTGAATAGAATTAACCATTTTATTATCATATCATACGTCACATGAATGTCAAGTATCATGTGGGAGTCAGAACACACTGCAGTAATCCTCTATCCAACTGAACTCTAGCACTTGTAGAGCCTGTTGATCTTGATTATATCGATGTCAGACAGACCCACTGTCTGCCCGATGGGGACAGAGGGGTCAGGGATGGGAGTTATGGTTTCTGATCGATTCTTTCCGAAGGCAGTTCTACAAATGGTAATGAAAAAGAATAATTCAAAAATTGTTTCTAGAATACAATTAGATTAGTCTCATTTGATTTAAAATACCATGTTGTTCTACTTTACCTTCCGTAGTGCATGATAGAGGAGTAGTCGTACGGAGTGTTGAGATTATTGGTGTCCATCAGTTGGAAGTCGCTGACATAATCTGGTGGCAAGAAAAGATCAATCAATAAATCGCAATAAAAGAATCAATCAGTTCTAAATGACGCTGTGAGATTCTTACATTCACTGATGTTTGCCCAGTTGATTCTGACGTGCTGGTCGCGGTCGCTGCGGGTGTGTTCGTGGTAGAAACCCAGCGCGTGCAGCAGTTCGTGCTGGATGATGCCCTTTTGTACGCAGCCGAACCTCTGCAGCGACACCACCTGCTTGTCTCCAATACGGCCCAGTAAAGAGGAACAGCTAATAGTGTAGATATTGAAAGAGATACAGAGATCATTAATATGCAACATGCAACATAACGATTGATTAATAGATTAATGTAATTTACATTTTTAATTTACAAAAACACACCCTGTGTGTACATGCTTAAATAATTAGCTTTCTGATTATGTTTAGGGTGGGTGTTTGTTGTTTTTTTTTTTGCTGTTAGCATATCTGAGAGCTGACTCAACTACAGATGCATCATTCGAACAACAGGAGGAAAAATAACTGCTGCTGTGAAGCTACACTTGCAGTTTGCTGTTCTTTTGTTTTGTTATTGCTTCTAAAGCTCTTCTTGCGAGCTGATGGTTGTTTGTGATTGTTTGCTTTTTTTCAAGGTAGAGAGATCACAGAGAGGACCTGTTTGGGTAGCATTTCAACCAACTAAGGGAAAGAGGACTGGATTAGAAAAGCACTTCCTGCAGCAGTTAAAAGCGGGAATGATGCTGCCAGATGCACGTTCAGCTTCAGCCTATGATGGATTTCGACACAAAGGGCCAAGGGGGACAAACATGTAAAAGGCCCCCAAGCCTGAAAGATATGCAGAATTATTAAAAACAACACGGCTCCGGCATACTAATTTTTCACTTGCATATTTTGCCTCTCTTTGTAGTCATTATGCATTTCTCTGTGGTCATTTTGTGTTTTCATGTAGTTGTTTTACTTCTCTTTGTTGTTGTTTCGTATCTGTAGTCATTTGCATCTTTTTTTTGGAGTTTTGTGTCTCTTTGTGGTTGTTTTGTATATATTTGTAGCAGCTTTGCATGCCTTTGTCGTTTTTTGGCATCTCTTTGTGGTCGTTTTGCTTCTCTTTGAAGTTATTTTGTGTTTCTTTGTACTGACACTCTTCTGCACAGATGTACAAAATGCTAAAGCACACTACACAAAATGTAAGAAAAGAAAGCCCGAGATGCCGAGCCGTTCTGCTGTCAAATGTATTTAAATAGCTGTAATAATGGTAATATATTGGAACAGATGCTACCGTTGCCTCAGTATGCTGTGAAGTTGTGATACGAAGGGAAAAAAAAACCCATCAGAACAAATATTAGATTGTATTTGGTTTGCAGATCGGCTATATCAAAAAGCACTGATCGAGATCCGGGGCCAATGTGTAGCATCAAGCCAATTCAGAAACCTTTATATCTTAACTTCTAAGTACGTTCATTTGCCTTAACTAGAACTCAGTATGCCGTACAAAACCTGATCCACCAGGCACATAATGTCGATGAATAGGTTAAAGTGGAATCAAGTAATAGTCGCACATTATACCCAATGCATTAAAGAAGTGCAGATAAGTATTTTTACGGTTCTTTTTTTTTTAACAGATGAATTATCTTGACTTCTTTGTACAGTACTTCACATGCAGGAGTGCTTCAGTTATTGACTCACCCAACTCTTGGTTCAATGCTTATGTACTCCGTCCGAGTTGCACGTGGAATGAAGCGGATGCAGGTTTTGGATTCAAAGTCCTTCGTGGCCTGTAAAATCGTACTCCTCTCAGTGTCATCTGCAATTGTGGGTAAAAATACTTTGTAACATCATCGCGTCAGTGTGTGAAAGATGTGCAGAATCCAGTTCTATTAATATTTTACCTTAAAAAGTTATACCTACCATATTCTTGGCTTATAAGGAAAGGGATTTCCACCTTCCCGTTAGCGGACTTTGGCCACAGACAGGAAAATGCCTTGTTTAAGCACTTCATAGCATTCCTGGTTTTGGGAATGAACACGTCACCTTCCAGCAGAAAATCACTAGATCCTATTAGAAGAAAAGAAAATATTTGAATCCAAGTTTCAGAACAAAGCAAGAAATCTCTGCTTTTCTGCAAACTATGGTTTCTGTTATTGAATATTGGAAATCTGCCAATATAAGAGAAAGTAATAGTCCTTCTATGTCCTTGTAATATTATGATTCAGTACTCACTATTGTTCATCCTCAGAATAGTTGTCGTAATGTCCTCCACGTTAGACTTATCCTCTAAGATCTCTAATCAATGGAAGCAAAGCACAAGTCATTCAACTCTGTTTTCACACACTGTCACATCTGATAGATTTGGTCTGTTAGACAGGGCTGCGAATAAATGCACAGGTTAGGTCACTTACCATTACCAGCACCATCCTGATCCTGTGAAAAGAAACAAACCACTTTACTTCACTTTACAGCATTTAAACTCAGTCTAATGCAGTCATCTGGACTTAAGACATCGATGGTAAGGGGAAGGTTTCATTCATTGCATACAGTGCATATAAGCTGTTATACATTGAAATCATTATTTCATACATTGCCATGGTGAGCATTACAGAGGCCTAGAAGCAGCAGCAGAAGAGAAACCGTTGTTCTGAGGTCCATTTTTGCCTGAAGGTGCTGATGCTTAAGATGTTGCTTTGAAGACTCCGCTTGTCTCACCGAGGACTGATGCTAAAGTCCAGCCAGGGTTGAGTTTATATGCAGGCTGTCAGGGTGTGTGTGTGTGTGTGTGTTTGTACAGAGATTAGTGGTAGGTGTTAAATAGGCTCTGTTTTAGACACACAGCTAATGGGAATGCCCTGCCCACTCTGGCCCATTGTTGCCACAAAGGGATAATCTTATTCTGGGGGGGATTACAGTGACCACAGGCTGCTGTCGGCTCACTTAGCATCAGATTTCAGATGGCCTTTTTAACCAGCAGGGGGTTTGGCTCATGAGATCTGGGCCTGTCCCTAAGTTTTATTCCAGAAATAACAGATACAGCATTTGAAACAAACAATGCCTTTTTAAATGCTCCTGTTAGCAGGTATTGAGGTAACGTGGCAATAAGTTGATCATTTTTCAAGAAAAGAAGCCAAATATTTGATATATTTTGAAATATATGATTTTTCTTAGTCAATGGTTGAACAGAACAAAAAATCTTAAGTCTGCTTGGACTGTGAGAAAATATGATGGACATTTTAAACTATTTTCTTTTCATTTATTTGAAATAGTTGCCAGATTAATTGATAATGAAAATAATAGACAGCTGCAGTCCTACTTACAATAAACACAATTACATAAACACATGCTTAATTTGACCAAAACACGCACTGAGAATTGTGTGAATATCCTAATAAAATTTGAAAAATAATTTTATTATAACAATGAGAATGAGAGGCTATTTAAAATACTGTTGTTTGGATAGAGAAAAAGTAAGAGGAATACAGAAATTACATAGACACCATACTGATACAGCCTCCACAGTTGTTTTAATACTGTATACATGATATTTGGTTTTCTGTAGTTTCTTTTTTACCCCCCCAAATCTTGCTCATACCATATTTTATAATACCATATCAACATGTCTTTGATTAATTATAAGAATTTTCAAAAAGTGAAAAAATAATCATTTTGAAGTGAAAAACAAGATTATTATTTTGGTTTCTGTTTGCTGAGGGAACTGCTGCAGCACTCTGAACATCTCATTGGTTTGGAGCTGCTGTGCTATGAGTCCCCACACTGCTGTGTTTTTGTTCCAGCCAGAAACATTTCATTTTATTATGCCAAGAGCAACTTATTTCACCGCTGGTATCAGAACAAACTTGCTTTTCGATCCAAGCATGAGCACTAACACCTCCTAATGGCGCAACAGATACTATCAGGGCATCTCTTTACAAAAACCTCATTTCCCATTAAACTAAACAGCCAGTGTGGCCTTTACAACCCTTTAGATTCCACAAAGGGCTTTGTAGTTTACACTGGGTGTGACCTGCAGTATTGTTTGTGCGGCTCCATTTATAATGTGTTGTTTCAAACAATAATTATGGCTCAATTAGTGACTGGCTGTAAAGTCCTGGATTCATTATTGAAGCTCTGCTGCTGCATCAGTGATAATATCAGCTGGAAAGACCGGGCCTTGGCCACCAGACTGTGATGAACAAAAAACAAAAAACAACAAGAAGAAACTGCCTTCTAAAAACTCAGAATCCAGAAATGGGTTGTTTAGAGAAATGAGTATTTAGATTTATTCGATGCCTTGCTAATAAATCATCAGCTTCCAGTGGATTGTTTACAAGAGAAGAGGGATGCTGTCTGGCTTCATAGCGCCATAAACAGTTTTAGGATCTGATTTCGCATGTCAAGGCCAGCAGCTTCGAACAGAGATTCCATCACGGCAACCTTTATATGATGTGGTCCTCCGCTGTACATCACAATAATGTGGCATTTATTATCGGGGAACAAAAATTGCACTCTGTGTGTGTGTGTGTGTTTGAGTCTTAAAGAGATGAACTGCAAGGGCTGTATTTGTGAACTCCCTTTACTGCAAGGCCAATAAAACCCTATGGATTTGTAAATTTTACAATGTTTGCATCATCCGTTTTGCACATGCATGCCTATACTGTATGTGCCTGTGTGTGTGTAGTGTGTGGTGTTGTGTGTGTGTGTGTGTGTGTGTGTTGCCTGTATGTCTGTGCCTGTCCAATTCGGGTGATCCGCGTGGGTGCACAGGTAATCCAATTTGTGTTTTAGAGGCACAGCACAGCACAAGTAATGCTCAATGATGTATGACCCATCCATTCGCTTGAGCTTTATTCCTAATGCCTCTCCAACTGCAGGGGGAAGTAGATCTTATTCAATTGGATGGCAGTGCTAGTGCTACCCCCCAAAAAACTGATATTTTATTTCTCTCCAAACATCTGCACCTTGTTAAGCCGGGTAGAAGCTTCGGAAAGCGATTGAGTAAAAGTATAGTATATAGTGTAAGGGCTTAAACCTCAACTATGATCTTGCTCCTTTTAACCACATGTAAAAATCATAAAGGAAAAGTATTTAAATTGTGCTTTCTGTCTGTAATGTATGTAAACACATAACAGATTGTAGCACTGTTCACATGTATTTTAGCCACAACAGACATATAGGAGAAGTCTGTTTATATACAGCAGGTGCATAGGACTTTAGGAAATAGGGGACTATATACTATAGTGTATATAAAGATATTAGAATGAAGCCATGGATGTCAAGAGGGGCCCATAGAGAAAGCCTGTGTACAAGGTCCAGAATTCTGTGCCATGCCCCTGATATACACTATAGCAATCAATCATCTTAAGTCTGGACTTTTTTAACATTTTTAAAATAAGAAAAAATCCTGCCACCAGTCTGCAACCACGTCAACTGAATAGAAAGGTGGGTGAACAGCCAAAAATGTGCTGCTGCACCATGCTGACACGTGACACTTTGAGAGGCAGAATTTGCAGGTTTATATAAAGGGAATGGCAGGTGTTGAGGGCTCTGATTTTCACACAAAGATGTTTTTTGGTTGTGGTGTTGGGGGGGCATAGCAACAAAAGATACTTGGAGACTTCACATTGGGCTCTGGAAAAGGCATTTTCTTTACCATTTTCTACTCTGCAGATTAATCAATAACGACAATAATCTACACTAGATGTTAAAACCATTCCTAATTTCATTGTGACTTGGGATTTGAGTGGTAGGAGGAAGTGGAGCAGATGGGAAGTTTTGGCACAATGTTCTTGAACACCAAACAACACTGATGGCGTGCCCTATTAGCCCTCCACTGCGCTAGAGTACGTCTCTGTCTTTTTTTCTCTGACACTACGTGGGCAGCCAAGGACAACAGTCAATGAGCAATATCAATTTACGTAATGGACTATTAAACAATGTGCTTAACATTTCGAATCACTGCACTGGCGTTCAGTGGGAGTGTGTGCCAGGAAGTCCGCTGCCATGATAACCACCCTGTGAAATGAAACACATTAGTCTGCTCCGCTGCCTCTTACTCACTCTCTAGCTCCTTCTCCTCCTACAGTTGGTCCTACCCGACACAGATGCCCTGCTTACTCTCCCTTCACTCGCCTTTTGCTCCGCATCTGACTGCGTGTCAAAATAACAATTAACAGTTCTGTACACTGCATTCATTTCAGGCGTCCCCTGTGATCCCACTCATTGTGTGTTTTTACAAGCGAGTCTTCAAATAAGCCAGATATTTTCTGCTGTTATTTCCACACTAGCTGACTAATTTCTTATGTATTCGAACATCTGCGGGTAAGTTTTTTTTTTTTTTATGGCGTTAATAACTCACAATATTGGATTTATTTGTTTTTTCTCTGATGAAATCTTTGAAGACGTAAGTAGCTCTCTGTCTCTTTGTTCTCCGTACAGGAGTCAATCTGCAATGTAAACATCTTGTTCATACTAATTGACATTCAGTCAAACAGGAACAAATATATTCAATATGAACACCTTCTTAATTGGTGGGAATTACCAGACTTGTAAGTGCCATGCGAATAGTAAATTAAATCAGGTGTATTATTGTAGTAATGCAATTGATTAAGCCACAATCCAGTTGTACAGTCCATTCAGGGAATAATTGTGTTTGATGGATGAGGTGTCAAGAGCTTTATGAGGTGGATTTGAAAATTGTACTATAAAAGGTCTTTGTGCTGAGAGAAGAGATGTAGTGAACGAGAGAACTTTTTAACTTCAAATCTTGTTCTTTTTTTCCCCTGTCAGGGTCAGATATTGGGATGTTGAGGGATACTATTAGGATTATTAGGATTTTCAGAGGTAAACGCTCACTTGCAATTCATAAAACCCCACTTCATCATACTTTAGCATCACACTTAGTCCACCATTTTTATTGGTTCCCACTAACCTAATGTAGGCCTTGCTCAAGGGTACCTCGGAAAGTTAAAGTATGAAAGTGTGTGACTCATCCATTTTGCCCACCCACGTTTCCCCAACCCGTCTAGATCTGATGATATTAGAGAAGTTATTGCCTGTTTCACTACTTCCAGGCTACAGTCCCTGATATACTGTCTGTAAATGTAATTAATTTAACTTATAGAACTTCTAAAAAAAATTAAAAATGTAAAACAAAATAGCTATATTCCTTTCAAACCTAGTTTAAAGAAGCATATGTTCCATAGACAGATCATTTACATATATATATAAATTATATTTTCCCTGTTTGTGTTATAGACATTGGCACTTAAACTTTAATATAGCAAAATAACAATACAAACAAAATGTTAGCATGTTAGCATTCTACTATTATCATTCAGCTGTGCCTAAGTACACCCCCACAGAGCCTCCAGCATGGCTGTAGACTCCAGTGTTGAGTTTTCTTTTATAGTAAAATGCCTTTGGGATTGAAAATATCAAATAATAAATTAATAATAATGACAATACAATATATTAGTCCTCTGGTTTTAGGTGCGAAACTCTAAGCCTTAACTGTGACTATAGTTTTTTGCTGTTTGCACGGCTCATGCGGCTTCAGTCACACCCAGGGTAATGGGTGGTGCAAAAACAGTTGAGCACTGTTGGCACAGCTTATTGTATCAAATTACACAAAGCAGAGGCCTTATCTGTTGAGCCAG